TAAATGGCAGCTCTTTCATTCTTGTTTCCGGTCAGTTGAGTGATCTACAAAAACTCTTCTAGCTTCTCTCTTTTCATTGTTATGCAAGATGGGCGTTGATAAACTACCAATATTCATCTATCATGTTCTTTATTTGAATTCTATAGTTGTGAGGGTAGAATCGAGCAAGTAACATTTGAAATGCACTGAATTGTGCTCAAATTGACATAAGTACCTGGCCTATTGCCCGGGTCGAGGGGGATTATCAGAGATTTCCTATATAGTTAACCTATTTATATTTTCTAACTCAGATTGTTGTATATGTTATGTACAAGCAAGGAGTGTACTTGTAGAGCGAAACCAGAGGGGTGGAATTTTTTGCAACCAGGAAATCCTAAAATTGTTCTAGTGATTTATGACGATAAAAATCCATCATAAATCATAACTGTTTCTCCAAATCAATAAATAAACGGGCCCATAACATTTGTGACTTTTTAAAAAAATAGTTTTCTCACTTTTTTTTTTAAATGGTGCGTCATTAATTTTCAAATTTGCTATAGTAAGAGTAATTATGATTATTTTTTACAAATACGTGGGCATTTTACTTATATATAATACAAGAGAAAATATTCAACCTTTTTAGTAATAGCTTTTGTTCAACCAAACCATTGACATGGGTACTTGAAGAAGAAGAAGAAAACCCTTGATATGAAGAAAAAACCATTTATACGAACTCTAAAGAACCATCTATAGGAGATCCTACTTAACTGGTTAAGACACCTACCTTCGACCAAAAGATAGTGAGTTTAAAACCCTACATGTTGTATTAAAACAAATTAACGTATCTCAACTATATGACACCAATTTTTTTAACATGAACCTACCAATTAAACATATTAGGCAACTAATTATGTACAAATTTCAATTATGATGTATCACATATTATGGTCAATATTTACATGTAATTTGAAGGAAAAAAAATTACAAATCTAGTTACCTTTTTTCCTATTATCATAGATTCGTTTTAATTAAAAAAAGTTTTCTTTCTATTTTGTTATCAAATCACATGGTTCTTAATGTTTGAAAAGATTAGGTGCTTAATCTTTTAAAATTTTCCATTCTACCCTCATTTATTAAAAGTTATCAATTGAGTCATTACAAAAAAATTTATTAAATTTCAAAAGTGATGCTATTAAATTATTATTTTATTAACATCTTTGAACATCCGAATGCTATAGAGTGATTATTGGTAAATCACTGGAGAATGAAGTGATTTACCAATTAGTGCGAGCAAAGTTGTGACTAAAATCAAAATGTAACCAAACATATAAGTATTTTAATTGAAATTATTTTCATAGGAAATATTTTAAGAGAAAAAGAAAACTTTTTAATCAAAAAGTGATTAAGTGAGACACATAGATAAAAACATTATTTTATTATTTTTGACTTAATGCATAATAATTATAAAAAAATAAATATAACATAAACATTTTGAGAATTTAATTTTCATATAAAACTTTTACGGTTTTTAATTTAAAATTTTAGAGAAAAAAAATTGTTTCCTAACATATTTCTATTTCGAGAAAAAAAATTGTTGTCTAACATATTTCTATTTTTTTTCCATAAAAATGAAAGAAATAATAAACCATTATCAAACACAATTCTATATTTTTATTGAGAGAAAAAATAATAATAATAAATGAGAAGAAAAAATAAATAGGAAACATTACCACAAAAAAAGTTCCAATTTATTAACTATTTTTTAAACATATTTTAATTTATTGATAATTTCTTTACATTTTACTCTCTTCTGTCAAAAAAAAGAAAAAAAAATTATTTGCTTCCCATTTATTTGTTTTACTCTTTATTTTTAGATCTTAACCAAATTTTAAAGAAACGTTTTTTTAAACAAAGATTAAGATTTCAATTTTCAACCTTTATTTCGTTGTGGAATTTGAATGGTACCAGTCATCAAACATATTTTTGTTTTTTTTTTTTCCAAAAACCAATAAACAAAAATGGTTACAAAACATATCACTATTTCTACTCCTAAAAAAACAAAAAACAAAAAAACAAAAACATTACCAAATAGGCTCTTCATGTTCTTTAAAAAGGATGTCCTAACAATCAAAAAGGATGTCCTAACAATCAAGAGAATCATCGACACCTATGAAAAAGCTTCAAGACAAAGCATTAACTTCGATAAATTCGTTTCTCGTGATAAGCAATAACATTGAAAGGTTCTGATTTCGGTTTATACATTTGGAGAAACCTGCTGAGCTCGCCTTTTTTACCCAATGTGATTCAATCTTTCGGCTTAAACTTTTCTATTGTCTTCAGAAAAAGTTAGTTGTACTTTTATCTTTTCCTTTCCATCCCGAGCCAAGAGATCATTCAATTTCTAATGGTGAAACTGGTTAAAGATGAAAGGAAGGTAAGCCAACCCTTTACATTAGGGTATTATCTTGACCTACCGTCCGAGAATGCAAAGAACAAGAGTTTGACTTTGAAGAATATTAGAGAAAAGGTTTGGAATACTCTCCAAAGATGGGAGAAGAAATTGTTCTATGTACGGGAGAAGGAAATCCCTATCAAGACAAGTGGCACAAAGGGCACAAAGGGATAAAATATCGATGTAAATAAAAAAGTTGAGGTGTCAATTTTATGAAAATATCGATAAAAATATCAACAAAATATTGATATCGATGGATATTCTTGAAAAAAGTTATAAAGTCAAGAAATTCATAAAAATGATCTAAATTAGCGCAAAAAAAAAGTAATTTCTCCTTTTTAAATAAGCTCCTATTATTAATATTAGAATGTTTTATTTTGTTGATATATACATATGTATATGTATATATAATATTTTATATTTCATTGATTTTTTACAATATAACAAAAATATTGAATTACTCCTTATGTCAATCAACATTTCGACATAAATTTTACTAACCTACTCGAATTATGCGATAAGCTGGTTTGGACCACTGAATAACCTTTGTAACATGGGAACAGTTTGGTGTGGAACTACAAGTGATGCAAGAAAAATTCATTGGCAAATTTGGAGGTTCATATGTTAGTAAAGAGGATGGAGAAAGCTGGAGAATGATTAAAAACCCGAATAACCCCTTATGTCGATGCAAGAAAAACCCGATAAGGTCATGACAAGAAAATATTTTAAGAACGGGAATTTCTGGGCAGCTAAGCTTGAGCACAACCTGTCCTTTTGTTTGGTGCAGTATCTAAGGGAGTTGCTTAAAAAAGAATATGATTGAGGCTGCCTCGGAGCGGGCTTAGCGTTAATATTGGTTCAGATCCTTGGCTACCGAGTGATGCAAGTTGCGAAATAAATTTTGTTCCAAGTGATCCAAAAGAGTGTTTTACAGGAGGAATCAGAAACTATTGTCAACCCCCAACCCCAAAGAACTCAAATGTTCAGGATAAAATAACTTGGAATTCAGCTCGGAAGGACCCGATAGGTAACATTTTCGTTCCTTGTTTCTCGTCTCACAAGAAATGTTTCCAAAACTATCTATAGATTTTGGCAACAAAAAAATTAAATTTCTTATTCTCCTTTCCAATTTATTCCAAAACAGAAATAAAAGCATGATTTTATTATTCTTAAATTATAAAAAGCATCATAAATATTTAAAGGTATATATAACATAAAAGTTTTGAATACTTAATTTAAAATAAATTAATTTTCATATAGAACTTTTAACTTTTTTTTTTCAATTTAAAATTTGAGATAATAAGAAGCAAGAAATGGTTAACAAACACGTGTCTATTTTCTTTTGCATAAAAAATAAAATAAAATAAAAAACCAGAAACAAATAATAGTTATCAAACAAAAATTTGTTTTTCTTTAATAAAAAAGAGGAAACGAGAAAGAAAAAAAAAAACCAGAAAAGAAGAAACGAAAATATTATCAAACAAACCTCTAAAAAGTGTACAAAGTAGAGATCCAGCAGTACCTGAATGCGGAAGCGTCATCCTTGAATCCACGAGCAAAATAGAGAGTTCTGGAAAGCTGAAGTACCAGAGAAGATTAAATTTTGCTCTTGGAAAATTTATAACAATATTGTGTACCAACTTTTGCTAACCTGTCCAAGAGGGGGACTTTTATGGAGTGGCATGCGCTCTATGAAAAGAAAGCCGAATCTGCCTTCTGTGAGGTAACAGCCTCACTAATTGCTTTACTTCAATCCGAACGAGCCCGAAGGCGATACAAGGAACGAAAGAAACACAAAAAGAACGCAAAGACACCCAGAACAAACCCACCAATTCGAGAGGGTGGAGAAACTCTCCAAAACAGCCCAAAAGCTACTCAGCACCAAAAGACTAGGATAATCCTCCCTCCTACATTCCCTAACCTTATAGGCGCCCGACTTCCCACCTATGCCTGACTACCACCCATTCCTCTTTCTCTCTCTTGGCTGTTATAGCCCTCTCCCCCTACAATGACTTCTTTGCCCTTCCTACTATATCTTTTTACAATTGGAGGTGTAACACCTTCCATTTAATCTGGAATTGAAAAAAGGAAGCAGAAATCACACATAATATACAGGGGAGTAGAACCAAACATATGGTGCTTGGTTAAATCAATTGAAATGAATATTGATGAATTTATGAGGACAAAGATGCATAACCTGAGGGAAGACCGAGCCCAGGAAACTTCACCATCCGACTCCAAATAGCTGGAAATTAAATGCGGATGCAGCATGAAGTGAGAAGGAAAGCCGAGGAGGCGTCGGTTGGGTGATCAGAGTAGTCATGGAGATATTGACCCAGTGGGAATGGTCGAACGAAGGAGAAGTGGCCGAAGCTCATGCCTGCAAGAGCGACTAGCATCCATTCATTGAAGAATCTCTGGAACCTGCACAAGATCTGGAGGTGGATTTGTCTCACGCAAAAAGGGAAGGATTTGTCTCATAGCTGAACTTGTTAAGTCCGAAAGGTCAAAATGTTCGAATCTCCATCGTATATTGTTGAATAAAAAAAATCCAATGTGACAGAATTTCTAAAATGAATATTGGACCATCCTTTTACAATGGCATTAACAAAAACAAACAGGTCTACAGTGTGAAATTCTAGGCCCTACACATCTTATATTACTTGCTCTATAACAGGCAAGTTCAGTTGTTCATAGCTTTCATGGTGGTCTTTTAACAATACAGACCCACCAAATGATTTGTGCTTCGAAATTTTAGAAGGGAAAAAAAGGGGAAAGAGAAAAAGAAAAAGAAAGAAAGAAAATGGTACATATCAAGAATCTGTTCTACGATCACTGGAAACCTCCGCCAGACTCTCTGGGTCTGATTTTACAACTGGAGGCAAATCCACAAGCATCTGAGGAGGAGCAAAATACATGTGCAGAGACATCATGCACACAATAATGCCCAGGAAAAGCTGTTTCAGAACAAAAAAACAGAGCGGCAAATATTAGAGGTTAGACTTTATGAACCCGAAAAATGAGGCTTCATGTCCTTTTTCATTTTTCAAGCAGTAATTTTTAGTCTGCTCGTGGATTGGAAGAATCCATGCATTTTTCTAGCAATAGTTTACTCTCTCTGTCCTCCCTCAGAACAAAAATAGCAAATAAGAAATGGGGTGGTTTTCTTCTGCACAGTTCTCGAGTATGGTTTCACGAATTCTATTACTCTGCCGTTCTTATTCAACTTCCTAAGTCTCTTTAATTAGGCATAAAATTGGTTCCATCTACAACTTCACTGATAGCTTCATCAAACTTCGGTAGGTTGGAATGCCCAGAATCCAAAGACAAGATGCACATGTTTCTCATTCGATTCACGAGTGGAGTGCAAGATGGGAGACCATAGCGACAATACTAAGGGTGAGTTTGGTATGAATTTTATAACGATGAAAAATATTTCTAGACAACTAAAAAATACTTATAAAAATTTTCATGGTGTTTGGTTATATGTTCAATGGTCAAAAAGTAATTTTCAAAATTCTAGACATACCCAAAAAGCTTTTTTAAAAGAAACACTTAAACAAGTGCTTCTCCCAAAATGCTTATAAAAAATGTTTCACATAAAAGCAATATTATCAAAAATCATCCCAAACTCACTCAAATCAACCATCATGAAAGTTTTAGAAAGTACATTCAATTAGCTAAAACATTTTTACCCTTTCAAAAGTAATACCAAACTGACCTTTCAGTTGCCATACTCTCACCAGACAAGCTGATGAAACCAAGATTTGTTTAGAGCTTAGGAACCAAATATGACGAGAATCACTTTCAATCGATGATTCAATCAAGGGATGCAGATCCAGCTTTGTATGCTTATGCACAACACAAATGGAAGTAATCTCAACGAACTCTTGAGCTTGGACACCCAATGTGAGAGTTGCAAGGAAAATGGAAATGTGTTCAAGAGAAGATTTACCATGCCTGCAAGAGCGGCTTACCATCTGTTTTTATAATCTTGCTATACATTAGCCCCTAGCTTTAGAGAGAGAGTAAGCAACTTCTAGAAGAAGACATGGGTCCTAAAATCCACGGGCAGACATTTGCTACAAAGGGTGGGATGTAACCAAAGAGCTATTTAAGGCAATTTCTGATATGGGAGGATCAATCTCTTAAATAGAAACAAAAACGAAACTAATGAGGTAAGTTGCACTCGGTAAAAATTTTAAAAAGTGTACTTTTCAATTTGTCTAATTATTTTCCTTAAATCAAGATGTAGCTGTATGGTAAGAAGAGAGTGAAACAGAGGAACTTTATAAGCCAGTCTCAAAGATAACTGAACTTTTACCTGCAGTGTCGGTCTGAAGTTAAACAGATGCACAGATAGGACGGTGGTGAGAAGCATTGCCATTGAAGTAGAGTACACCTAAATTATTGAACACAAAGGACAATGAGACAAATCAAATCTTATAAAAAGAATGGGAATAGAATATGAAGCCCATGGAGGACTGGAGAAGTATAACACAAAGCCTTTACTAAAAATAAAACAGCTACCTTAACAATATTATCAGCATATTTCATCAGCCATGAAACCAAAAGCCCAGTGGACCCAAGATTAATAACCACCATCCAGGTAGTAATACTGTATCCATTGAAGAGACGCTGCCACCATGGACCCTTCTCAAATCCACCCCTAAAATCGTCTACAACAAGGCGTGCCATATTGAAAATTGCCCCAAACCTGAAAAACCACAATCCAAATCATGCTGCTGTTAATGCCTTCTAATCACCTGAATAAATTTGAAAAACTGATGACTTCTTGAAGAATAATACATGATAGACACTAAATCTTTTTATGATCAAGAATGAATGAAAACTTAATTCTTGGAAGAAAATCATATTTCTCATTTTGAAAATAAAACCATAGTTCATATAAAAAATAATAATAAAAATAAAAATAAAACCAGAGTTTCATCAATATGCTGCCTTGTGTTTTCAAAATGAAATAGCCAAAGTAACAAGCTCGAGATAACTAGCTCATTCACACAAAGATGAGTAGAAGGTATTTTGTCGACAAACTTATTCAGTAGCTATAAAACTAGACCACCAGATATTAGTAAGAACTTGATTTCCTACTTGCAGGCCCCACTTTCTTCTACTGATTGTGCGTAGACCATTAACATAATTTAAGGGAAAAAAGACGCCAAAAGTTCAGTCTACTGTCAGAAAGGCATCTCTGGAGTTTCAGTTAAAATTTTATCCCCACAATCACATCATATTGTGGAAAAGTTAAAATGACACTTCTGTCAATAATTATAAATTATTCCAAGCAGCAGATTCAAAAGACTACTAAGAGTAACCAACCTGATCAACATAAAAGAATGGGTACCTACGTGTATAACTGAACATTCTGCCAGTATAAAGTATCGTTATTTTTCTTCATCAAGAATTCTGTATAAATGCCAGCTAATGCTGAAAGGCAGGCAGAAAGAATCCCTAACATGTATCCTTGAATAGGTGATGAGAGAAGAGATTCACATGAAGCCTCTCCACATCCTTTAACCTGAATCAATAAGAAATGACAAAAAGAACAAGAAAAGAAAAAACCTATTAGAAAACACTTCCATCTTTCTTGCTTTTCATTTTAGGAATTACATACATCTGAGACTGTATTCAGAACTAGTTTCATCTGTAATAAGTCGAACTAATTCTACCTTTTTTATTCTATTTGATTTAAAACCTCTTCCTCTTCCACTATCAGCAATTCCAAGATAGCTCTAGCCTTTAGTCAGGAATTCATATTTATCGATAATATCACTATTTTTGTCAACATCAGTTTTCTTAAACATGTGAAGGTATGTCTGGAGTTTCCTTTCTCTTCCCTCCCTTTCCCACCTATCTTTAGCGCATAGCAGCGCCCAATACACCAGCAACTCCCATCATATGAAATGGGTTCAATGTAATCATCAAAGACATCTCACAAGAGTATTTTACTTCCACAAAATTCCTATAGTTAGCTAACAAGTCATAAGCCAGATATACAGAATAGTAAAAGTATCTTTCTTTTCTAATGCAGTACCTGGCTCATGGTCGTCCCGACTGCCAACAGAATAATAGCCATCCACTGCAAGTTGGATAGTTTCCTCCTTAGGAATAGCCTAAATTAGGAAATAGAAATATCTGCTCTTGTGTGAGAATAAGAATCCAAGAAATGATATGTGTTGATATAACAATGTCATTTGTATTCAATAGAAAATCACCTGAACAAAATTCCAGTTGTGACAATCTTCAAATTGCCCATTATCTGGTATGTGGATGTATCTACATACGTCAAAGTAGCAAATTGAACATTGTTGTGGATCAGGTATATAATTGAAGGTATCGGATACAAACGAACACTCCTCCAATCTGTTGTCATTTTTGGAGGAGGTGATTTCTGGCTCTCCTTCCAGAGAAACATACCTGAAACTAAAAGCTGGAAATTATGCATTTAGATACGGATTAACGATACAAAAAACAAACAAAATCACATCGAACAAAGGAGTGCAAAACACCTTAAAAACTTCTGCAAGAAAGGGGACGGTCGCATAGTCATACTCGTATCTACCATTTCTTTGAGATAACGTAGTTAAAATTCCCTGCCATACATAGAAGGAAAATAGAGAAAAATGGGGATTCGTTAACCAAAAATAAAACTCGCCCCTGTCGTCTGAACTAAAATCCTTCCCAGTAGCATAAACAATGAGAGAGCCTCAAAAATGAAAAAGGAAAAACAGATTCTAACTAGAATTGTGAGGAAAACCCATCGCATCAAGTAATTAAAGCAACCGACGCTACTGTACCATAGCTTAACAATAGATTTAACACTTCTACACAACTTGCCAAACTTTCTCCATCCATGTTGTTCGAAATGCGATTAAAAGCAAGTGATAGAGTTTCAAATTCCGCTGAAAGAAATGGGCGAGGATTGAATTGGAATCACGAACCTGAGAACTGGTAAGTACAGTAAGAAGCAAAGCGACCATGTACCACTGCATTTTCCACCAATCTGCGCAGAAAGAGAGATCAGAGATGAGAGGTATCTAGGGCTTGGCAGCGAAGAATTTCAGAGGGAAATGGCGATAAATCACGATGAGGGGAAAGAAAAAATGGCATTTGGAAGACGGGGAAGATGAAATTGGGAAAAATGTTTCTTTTTTCTTTTTTCCATTGAAAAAATTGTTTTATTAAATGAAGCATTTTGTTTGCAATGATGTAATTTAAAAATAATAATAAATAAAAGTATTGTAGTTAATTACAAAAATAGGGCACATCAATCCAAGATATTAAATTTCTATCCACAGGTAAATATTTTTCTATGTTATATGGGATATGAGATGATTCTACATTTTATAGTATCGAACAAAACATTGCTAACATGCACATAATATATTAATAATTTTTAACTTACTTAGAAAGAATGAATTTTTTATTTGTTAATTTAATATTTGTTATTATTATAATTTTATCAAAATATCAAGACATCAATATTTTATAGATATTTACATTTCTATAATATTGAGGTTTTTCATTTGTCTTTGTGGTTAAATATCATTTTCGTCTTCCTTATCGTTTTCGCCAGTGACCCACCACCTCATGAGACAGTGAACTCGAGTGCAACTCCCTAGTTTCATATATTGTCTCCATTGCCTCGCCTTCTTCCGTGCTTGGGATGTTGTGGTCACGACAGATGTGGTCTTTGTCATCGTTATACCCGACCTAAAACTTGTGCTTTCATGGTTAAAAAAAATAGAATGTTAACCAGTCATTAGCTTCCTTTTTTTCTCCCTGAACTATTTTGATTTATTTTAAAGCATTTCGGACAATGGTATGGATCGAACCTCAAACCTCAAAGGAAGGAGAACATGTCAATTACCGCTCAAGTATGCTCATGTTGACTTTTCCTCTGACTCTTTTGCTTTATTTCAAGACATTTGGAACATCTTGGTGTTATTCATTGACTTAAATCATGTGCTTCTATGATTTATTACAAGTCAATCTTCTCTCTCGTTTGGATGAGGGTTTTTTTTTTCTCTCCTCTCGATGAGAGTTTTTTTTTTGTCTTTGGATTATATTGTCTTTTGTTTTCAAGGTTGGTATGCAAGGATGAAATCTTTGATATTGTGGAAGTTTGGGAGAAGCTCAAGTTGATATTAGAAGAAGACGAAACTAAAGTTGATATCGATTGGCTCGACGACAATTCTTATAGGAATACGACTAAAGACCAGTCTTGTAGGGAAACTACCGTAAAAAAGAATAACAAAGATTGAGGTGTTAGGCAAAGTTCTCAAGTCATCATGGAAGTTTGAGAAAGGGTAAGCGATTGAAGGATGGGAGAAAATGTCTTCTTTTCATATTCAACAGAGAGGTGGACCAAAACAAAATTTTCAGAATGTGTTATAGGAAGGAAAACGACATACAAACCAACCAAGGGAACAAAAGAGAATCGACGAGATGGCCAGCCAAACCGAGCTGGGCCGAGTGTTGAGCCGACCCGAGCCGTCGAGCCGACTCAAACCCCAAGTCGACCCGAGCTCAGCCCATTGCCGAGCCCGACATCCTCCCTCTTATGTTGTCCACGATGTCTTGGGTCTTACGACGGTTATTTAGGCTCACCTAGAAGACTCTAGAACTCTCCAAACTATTATAAATAGGCTATGCAGCATAACCCTAAGGTAAGCGAATTCGACCCTTGAATTCTATGACTCTACTGCTCCCCTTGCTAACTTAGGCATCGGAGCCCGTGTGACAAGTGTCACATTGGTTTAGCCTTGTTCAGTTTTTCAGGTCTTCGAGTCCCTGATAATCAAGCTTTGTGCGAACCTCAGGAGGAACCGGGAGAGCAGAATCCACGCATCAACAATTGGCATCGTCTATGAAGACGATGCAGTTCGAGCAAACTTAGCCGAGACAAAATCTGAATCCAAGGAAGGAGCCGAGAAGACATCCCAATCCGAGGAGGGAGCTGAGACGACATCCTAATCTGAGGAAGGAGCCGAGACGAAATCTCAAACCGAGGAGGGAGCCGAGACGAAATTCCAATCCGAGTAGGGAGCCGAAACGAGATCCCAATCCAAGGAGGGAGCCGAGATGAAATCCTAATCCGATGAAGGAGCCGAGACGAGATCCTAATCCGAGGAGGGTAACATGGAGCAAGTCGACGCAACTCCTAGTGGAAACGACAATGTTTCGAAAGGAAAAGCCCAAACGAGGCTACCGACCACTCGACGGAGCAAATCCGAGCCCTGGTCATTGACTAAATCCGACCACCATCGGTAGAGGAGAACAAGCTGAGGACGTGAGATCTATCCGTTTAAACGTCCGAAGAGTAACGAATTAACCCAGAACACCTCAGATCCGAGGAGATCTTAGGATAAACAAATCGACATGGATTATGCGAGCTACCTTTTCCTGAGATAGTCGAGGGAAAATCAAATCGACGAGTTCTAGGGCAGGACCTAGAACGAACGAATCAACAAATTCCAGGACAAATCTTGAATAAGATAAGTCAACCCATCAGAAGAAAAAGAAGGGAATGACTGCTCAGACCCGATAAGGTTTAGGGTAAAGCAAGTATACAAGCTCTGGGGCAGGACCCAGAGCAAGCAAATCGACAAGTTTCAAGACAGATCTTGGATGAGGCAAATCGATGGATTCTACAATAGGTTTCGAGAGAAACGATCAACAAATCTCATAATGAATAAAGCAACTTGATGAAGTTCTAAGGCATCTAAAAGACAAACTGACTGCTGTGAAAAGTCAAGGAAGTGTGTCAAGAACACAACCCTCATTTTGAAAAACTTGGGGAACAAAAGAAAAAGGCAACCTACGCCTATCCGAGGTCTGTAAAAGGACAAAGCTACTACAAAGACCTGACAAGCGAACTATATAATTGGTCATGACCAGACTCTAGGGCACGACCGGATCCAAGGCATGACCAGGCTCGGCCGAGCCAGTTTCTACCGACCAGATGCCTTCTGCCAACCAGGTCTCTGTTGTCGACCAGGTGTCTTCCATGGACTAGGCTTATTCTATTAACCAGACCAATTCCGCCGACCAGACATCTTCTACCGACTAGGTCTCTTCCGCTGACGACATCCAATAACTACACGACAGCAAAAGTCAGCAGCACGTAGTACAGGAACTGCCTGGAAAGCCAACCCGGTTTCCAAATATTTATGCTTGGCAAGGAGAAGTCACTTAGTCGACACGAGTAGACAGAAGAAAGTGACATAAGAGAGAACGACAATGCTTGAAGTACTTGAGAAAGTTTTTCATTTGACACCTTAAACAAAACCTCATCAAGTGGGGGCCATGTGAGTAACAATGGTCAAGGAATTCGAACTGGGACAAGCCTAGAAGCAGGCTGATAAGCTAGAAGCCAGTCAGTGAAACTAGGGAAAATAATCCCAAAGGTGCTGAAAAAGGCATGCATACAGGCAAAACTAAGGAAAAGAATCCCAAAGGTGCTGAAAAAGGTATGCGTACAGGCCCAGCAAAGTTGAAACAGAAACCAGGCAAGCCAAACCAATCAAGGAAACCCAGGTATAAAACCATTTGGCAAAAGCCAAAGTAGGTTTGAAACCCAAGGGTGTTGATTAAACATAAGGTAAAAAACTGGCAGAAGCCAAATAGGTTAGAAACCCAAGGGTTCCAAACCATTAGCGAAAGCCAAATAGGTTAGAAACCTAAGAGCAAACCCTGAGGTATAAAACCATGGGCAATAACCAAACAGGTTATAAACCCAAGGGTGGTATCACTAGCTCAACTAAAAGTTATATCCAAGGCTAAAATCTAACGGTTAAAACTAACTGTATAGTAGAGCCCATGAGACCTGATTGCAGCCAACTATGTCAAAATAGTATGGAGCTAGGAAGACCAGCCCATGAAACAACAACCGACAAAGATTGAAGGGTATCGACTGGACTCAGGGTATAAAATCGTTGGCGAAAGCCGATAGGTTGGAAGCTCAAGAGTAAACTCTAAAGTATAAAACCATGGGTAAAACCCAAACAGGTTAGAAACTTAAGGGTGATACAGCTAGCCCAGCTAAAAGTTAGATCCCAAGGCAAAAACCTAAACAGTTAAAACTAACTGTACAGTAAGCCTGAGGGACTTGACTACAGCCAATTAGACAAAAGGGTGTGGGGGCTAAGAAAATCAGCCCGTGGGATGACAATCAATAGATGACAAGAGAATAAGGGGGACTAATTCGCAATACAGTCATTCATGGAACATTCAATCGACAAAGTACTCTCAATATAAAACACCTCACATTTTATCTTCTATGTTAAGAGTGTGGGCTATTGTTATAAGAAGCAATACGGTCCAAACAACGAATGAGAATCAGACTAAGAAGAAGAAGGAAGAGCCCCGAAACTACTACCACCGGGGTTAGCCCATGGTTCTGGGCCAGCCCACTCAACGCCCGACCCGACCTTGGCGTTGAGGCCTGCTCGACACCGAGGCGCTGTGCTTGGTGTCGGCTTCTTGTCTTGGTCTTTGGGTCAGGACGCCACTCGATCTCTTCCGCCCAGTTCCTATGCCAACCAATCAAATACCTTTGCTTGGTACCGAACCCGACATTCTCTCTCTTCTGTTGTCTAGAATCATTGGGCCTTCATAACAATCATCTAGGACTCATTTAGAAGGTTTTGGAAAGGCTAGCGCAGTCAAAACTAAAACATGAAAATACAGGATATAAAACTATTTGGCACGAAAAGCCAAACAAGTTAGAAATCCGAAAATATCGATGCCAGTTCTGCTAAAGTTAGAATCCAAGGCCAAGAGGGAATGGTAAAACCAGGCTCAGGAGACTTGATTGTGATCAACGAAAATTGGAGAAAACTCTAATTTATGAAGTAATATCGACAAGCTCAAGGTACAAAACCAATGGCAAAAACCAAGCCTTTAAAAATCCAAAACTGGATCCAAAAAGCCTTTGGTAAAAGCTCTGTGGGTTAGAGACCTTGGCGTAGTTAGCCACTAATATGCATATAGACTATGCTATAAAATGATCTCGTGGTAGCAACAAAGCGACAGATACTCTCAAACAAAAATCCTAATGTAGTCACGTGTTTTCTATTTTGAGAGTGGAGGCTAATGTTATAGGAAGGAAAACAACAAACAAACCAACCAAGGGAACAGAAGAGAATCGA